GCTATAATGGGATGGAGATTTCCATAAATCCTTCATTTTGTGAAATAAATAACCATTGTGATTAACACACTTTATCATAGTAACCATCTGCCAGAGAAACTGTGTTCTAGTTTGGTTTCAAGATTTAGAACTATTGACTAAAAACGAATTGGCCAATGTTTCCAATGTGACAAGTGTAACTGAAGTTCATCGATTGAATTCCATTAATAATACAGTTCAGTTTATTGACCATAACTCTAATAATAGGTTTGTGTCAGAAAATTTAAAGAGGTCGGCACATCGCATCTGTTCGTAATCCCAAATGGACTATATCTGTAGACATTGCAGGATGAACATCTGTTACAATGTATATTATTTTAAAAAGCAGAATACATGTAGCACTTAACTGCATTGATGGTTTTCAACATTGGTGATAGAATGAAATCTACAGCCTGTGATGAAAAGATTACGAAGTTTTTATCAAAACTAAAGGAAATTCAGTATACTACTGTTTACAAACCGAAAATAACATCATCAAATCTATGTTGAAAAAAGTGATTACTAATACACGAATAAAACTGTAATCCATGACAGTAAACTACAGCGATGTGGGGAGAGTGTTGTATCTCTTGGCGGTAGTAGTGTTTCCAACAATGCAAAATAAAATATCAGCTATAAACTTATGAAATCTACTCTAGGTAATTGTACATGATCTACTGATTCTACTAAAAAGAAAAGTAAAGTTCCCCTTTCAGACCTTGTGGTCTATAGGGCAGATGATGTAAAGGTTATCTGTTTCTGTGGCCTAGGTTAACGAGGGTGTCATGTGGCCAGCACAACGACCAACCGCCTTTACTTTTCCCCAACTAACGATAGGTACCCATTAGAGCTGGGTGGACTCAGAGGCACCCGAAGATCCTGAAGTTAAAAATACCAGTCTTCACCAGGATTCGAACCTCGGACCCCGGTTCGGTAGCCAAGCGCATTACCTCTCAGCCACCGCGCTTCTATCTGATTCTACTCTAAGTGAATAATTGTATGTGATCTTGGTGGTCTTAATTTCTTGAAGCTCCTCCTATACAATTAAAGATGCGCCTCGTCTCACTTCTGATGAATTAGGACATAACTGTGTAGTCTGATCTTTCACTTAACATTTATATTATATTTAAAGCTCTGGTATTTGGAGCCAACTGATGCCCGCTCACACTGCCAAGTCATCTTCGCTACTAGTCGAACATTTTTCAGCAGTGAGAATCTCTCCAGAAAACTGGACACGGTAAACGAGCATTGGTTACCATGCAAATCGTTTGGCTACCGCTATAATGGCTGCCTGGTCGTGCGGTTTGCGCACTGGACTGTCGTTTGGATTTATCGATGGTCCCGGGTTCAAAACCCTGCCCGCTCCCATCCCCCGTCGTCCTGCGGGAGGTTTGGACTAGGAAGTAAACTATCTTCAACACTGAAGGAACATCCGAAATATGTAAAACATTTTACAAAACATAAACACACGCAAGTTGGCATCATTTAAACACAATGTCAACGACCATAAGTGTAAAAAAAAAATACTTTCCCCACTTCAGCCCAGAAATACATGGCGCCGAGATTAGGAAGGAGACGCCTAGATTGGAAAGACGTGGGGACAATTGGAGAGACCCTCCCAGATCTGAGACGCATAGAAGAAGCTTGCTGGTAGCTTATACACTAGACGGTAACCACAGGTAGAGCTGAGATGTTACTCGGACTTTCAAGGTCAAGCCAGATGACTACTTATGCTTCAATATGAGATGTCTAACTGCAGCGATACCAAACCTAACCCGTCCAGGGGATTAAATAAATCACCTGTCGCCTCAGCGCACCGAAAATAAAATCGTTTCATCCAGTGGAATTTGATCCACTGCGGCGTCTGCTTATAGCACATGGGACCGGATATGGCCTGCAGCCCGTAGATTGGACACCAACTACAGCCGCAATAAGAAGTAACGTATTGATGTCGTTTTGCTGCTTGGTCAATGGACCTCTCTATAATCGATTACAATAAAGAGCTTCTTATTTATCGACTCGATTCGAGTCTTTCCACTCTTCATACAATCCGTCTCGATTTAATATGCTTATAGAACCGGAAGTGAAATTCAAGGGTCATTAGATTATGGAACTACTTACTACCTATTCGCAACACAAACCTGCCGACACACTTAAAGCGACACATTAGAGTGTCTTGACTTTTAAGCAAACATAAACCCGAAGTTGTGTCAGAATTTTTCCATAGGCATTAAAACAACAGTCTGTGTTAAAAAAAACATTGGGAGACAGAATTCTTTGACAATAAGGAAACTACTTGGGCTTCTATAAAGTAATTTGGCAACAAAGAAAGTACTTGGACAATAGAGAAAACATTCGCGATGAGGAAAGTACTTCGACACTATGGAAAAAACTTTAACAATACATAAAGTACTTTGGTAACAAGTAAAGTACTTCAACAAAAGAGAACGCATTTTGGTAATCAGAAATTTGGTACGACAAAAAAGCATTATTTTACAAAAACGCTGACAATCCAGAGGATGCTTACAACAAAGATCAGAAAAGATTGCTTTCTAAAAGACACACTGTGGTTTGATGTGTCTCATGGATCAGACACATTGCTGCGTCCCGACACATTCATTTCTTTAATCACTTTTAAACACTTCAGAATCTCAGCATTTTTTGTTTGTTTGTTTGTTTGTTTAGCAAACACTCAACATTTAGGCAGTTACTGTAAATATTTCATCACAATTAATAGAGAGAGCCTATTCATTGTAAATACTGTAAACTGTCTAATGTGTGACAGACAAGAATCTCATCTTTAGAAAGTATTGACAGTGCATGTTTTGGGTGTATGGCTAGACATAGTACAACTCAATAAACAGTCAGCAAAACAATAATGCGACTCATAATAAATTGTTTGTATGTGTTTGTTGTTCGCTTTATGGATCTTTTATGTAGATTGTGCTATAACAAGTTTGTGTTGGCAGGTATGGTCTTGTTTTTTTTCTTGTTTTTTTATTTGTAGAAAATCTTGTTGTTTTTTTTAAATCGATAGATTGAACTTAATGTTTTTAATGTCAGACAATGGTTCTCAATCTGTGTAAATACTATAGTGCTAAGTGTGCCATGAATGTCTTCAATCGACACTCTTTGTGTAAACCTTTGATTTAAATGTTTCTCTAAATGTTTGCATGTATTTTCAAAACAATATTAAGTGAGTGTTTGCATTTCAAAATTTAAATTGTTGTTCAAATATTAAATGGCATTTTTGGTTTCCAAACCAAAAACTGGTGGACAACATTGAGCATATTTTGTTTTAATAGGAGATTGTTTTATGTCTTTGAATGAGCAAAGTCGGTGAAATGTTCCTGTAAGTTTTGCCCTGATAATGAAATTTTCAAGTTAAAGTTAGGAATAAATAAAACAGATTTTAATTCACAAGACTATACAAACAAGAAAATATTTTACATTAAAACATGTGTAGTTGTATCAAATTATTATGTATCAGTCATGTAATACAATTTGTAATAGAGCTAAACTAATAATAATAAATTATACCACCACATCAGTAAAGTACAATTTCTTTCTCTTGTTCAAGATACCAAACAAAGTAATTAAATACCAATAGAAAAATTATGTTTGGTTTTGTCAAGTAAAAGAAATAATTGTGCAAATTGCAGCTTGATCCGAGGATGTGTGTGTAAGAAAATAGCGTGTACAAAGTTTTCACCAGACAGACAGACAAACTGTTGGAATTTTCATTAAACACTTGATGCCCCTATCACTTGATGCCCCCATCACTTGATGCCCCCATCACTTGATGCCCCCATCACTTGATGCCCCCATCACTTGATGCCCCCATCACTTGATGCCCCCATCACTTGATGCCCCCATCACAGAGTGAGTTGATATAAATTGTGTAACAAGCCGAGAACGTTTCTTCTTCGTTCTCTTTAGCGACTTGAGGAGATCTGGGAAGGGGAGGGGGGGGGGGGGTCAGCGAACAAATCATTATAGAAGGCCTGAACAATGTCCTTCGACGTTGCAGCTTGTGGGCAGTTTAAACCGATAGCTCGTTTCCACTTCTTAGATCCGACGTCATGATTGTCAAGGTACATTGTTCTGAGCTCAAGTCCTATTTAAGTACTTTTAAGGCTACCAAGTTTCCAGGATCAGGGTTGGAACTGGGGTTCAATGTGACCACAGTCCGGGAGGGGTTTTCCACACGTCCCGCTGTCTTCCTGTCTCCATCAAAATTTTAAGACTTTCTTTCAGTAAAACCTATTTAAATCATCCTACACAATTTTTTAAAACTATACATAGAAAGGTATAGATAAGCTCAATTTTTTTAAATCACTTTCTTCCATTATTTTTAAAACTTCAACACATAAAACAAATTATTTCCTCTTATCAAGAATAGCCCAATACTTTCCACATTAATTGACAAATGTCTCCACGACAAGTTTGAGTTCCACCCAGGGTTCGAGATTACAAGATTGGAATAGGGTGAAATTTAGAGAGTACAGAGATTATCGCCCCCAGTTTTTTTGTCTTGTTTTTAGGTAGCGCGTCTTTCGTGCTATAGGCAGCTATTGCAAGCTCAATGCACTTTGGTCCAATCTGTTTTGTGGACATGTGGAAAGCAGCTCTATAGGAGGTTTCCGACAACTCAGCCCAAATAAAATTTCAATACTAAAATATTGGTCGATATATCGAGCTCCAGCTCCCTCTAAAGATGCATTAGGTCATTGTAGAAGTGTAGAGTTATTGTAGAGCTATTGTAGAGTGAGAGTCAGTTTAGAATGAGAGTCAGAGTAGAATGAGTCAGAGTAGAATGAATCATAGTAGAATGAGAGTCATTGTAGAATTGCAGCAGTCATTGTAGAGTGAGAGTCAGTGTAGAATTACAGTCATTGTAGAGTGAGAGTCAGTGTAGAATTACAGTCATTGTAGAGTGAGAGTCAGTGTAAAATGAAAGTCAGTGTAGAATCACAGTCATTGTAGAGTGAGAGTCAGTGTAGAATGCATGTCAGTGTACATGGAGGTCAGTGAATAATTCAGGTCTGTATTGGCCTCAAATCAGTTTAATATGCTTCTTTAATTTTTTTTTATCTGTTTCAAATGTCCATGTTATGTGTAGTCAAATGTAATATGCTAAATAATATGGATATAAGAATTGTACACTTCATTCGAACCAGATGAACAGATGAATCTTTTTATACATGTGTGGCTCTGTATGTGTAGCTATTAGTCTTATCATTTTGTATTACCAAAGTCATCATAAGAGTACACATTTGTAAGCATATCTTTTTACAGCATCTGTTTTCATGAGTTCGTTTACTTTGTGCTTTAAAGAGCTGTGACTGAACACTTTTAAAAATGTTGACACAAAATTTTAAGTAAACATTTCATTGTGGCTTTGTTTTTATTTTTGTTTCCCCTTGTTTCTCTTTGCTTGCATTAATCATCGAATGAAATGGTGTGTTCATCAAATTATTTATTATGTTTTTTTTTTAATCCTATTTATAATTTGTTTCTTGGATTATGTTTTTGTTTGTTGATTAGAGTCAACTTTTTTAAAAAAAACATGTTTTAGTTTTTTTTGAAAATTAAACATTTTTCTTTTTTTTTATTCGGCGATTTTTGTGGTGTTTTTATTCTCAAATTTAAGTGTGTTTGGAACTATGTGGCATTTTTACATCTGAGGGACAATTTTTTCCCTTTGCAACTTCTTGTGTGACCAAAGAGGCCAATTCTTGATACTCAGCTGCGATCGCTGGTTGGGCATATGTAATCACCAGGCACCGTTGCATTTTCACCCTTCTTTCTGCTGCTGTTGTGTATGGCATCTGCAGACCGTGACCCTTCCTTTATGCTCTCTGTCCATGTGGATCTATCCAGTGCTACTTTTTCCCAGCTGCTAGTGTCGATTTTGAAGAGCTTCATGTCGCGTTTGCATAGATCAGTATACCGTGAAAGTGGGCGACCAGCGGCTCTCCTGCATTCTGTTAGATCGCCATGCAGAATGTCTTGTGGAAGTCGAGCTTCTGGTATTCTACGAACGTATTTTTTGGAACTAATCATATAGGATCAATTACACATTTTTAATTACACATCAATAATAGAATATGCCATAATGGAGTTGGGTGGTTAATACAATTTTAGATGTTTAACCTGATCACCTCAACATTCAATTGCATTCTGGAGATAATTGTATATGTTAAAAAAAGTTCCCCTTTCAGACCTTGTGGTCTATAGGGCAGATGATGTAAAGATCATCTGATTCTGTGGTTAACGAGGGTGTCATGTGGCCAGCACAACGACTAACCGCCTTTACTTTTCCCCAACTAATGTCAGGTACCCATTAGAGCTGGGTGAACTCAGAGGCGCCCGAAGATCCCGAAATTTAAAATCCCAGTCTTCACCAGGATATATATGCTAAAAAATAACAGAAAACATTTTGTAATAGGCATTGGTCTTGTATGATGGCCGTCTGGCTTCGACGGATGACTCAGACATAGTTACAGCGTAATGTACGGGTGTATTCATTAGTATTATTGTAAAGCCTTCTTCAGTCATGAGGATTAGGGTTCTTCTGGCAGAACACTATTTCATGTCTCTGGAGACCTGTTTTGAAGAGGCATTCCCGTGTCGCAGATTAAGGAGGCTTTCGCTTATGTGGAAGAGGAGCCAGTTACATTTCGTATGGCTCGCTTTTCTTCCAGAGCTGAGACCCACGTTTTTTCGCTGTCCATAGCTGTGTTGGTCACCATCTCTCTTCACGTAGAGCTACGTATGTTATTTATAGGCTTAATTCGCTCAATAACTAACAAGATCGAATCCTACCACAAAGCGAAGGTCCAGACCTCCTGCGTAATAATAACACAAACAAGCTAAACCCCACTATCCGTGACGTGACTAAATGTTGCGTTCAAAATCCGTCAACTTTGGTGCGTCTCTATACCAACAAAGTGCTTGTCAATTTCTTCTTCACGAAATATACTTATTTTAACATAAAATAGTTATCAATTAAATATCAAACATAGACTATATTTCAAGAAAGAATACACGCTTTATAATTCAAATTTAATAACTTATTGATAAAGTAGACTAACATAAAACCTGAAAAGTATGCACTGAATGGACGATAGGCATTAGCTAATCTCTTCAATATTTAGGTTGCCGAACTTAGAAATCGAAAGTTATCTTATTTTAAGGTCCCGTTAACAAATCTCATGTAAAAAATGTTTATTCTACTGTGTGGACAATCGAAGCTCAAAAGTATAAAAAAAAAAAAACTTTCTGTTTCCAGTTCTGTGGCAATATAAACTCGTACAACAGATGACAAAACATTAAAAACTCCACGTTATCATATTACCAATGATCAATATCACATCATCACTTACAAATTATCCTTTACAAATCATCAATTACTCATCATCTATATCACATCATCAGTTACACATCATCAGTTAAACATAATCAGAAATAACGTGTTCAAACCTTTTACCAGACAGACAAACAGACAGACAGAGTTGATGCAAGCTTTGTAATGATACGAACAAGACAGTTCCATTAAAATGTACTATGTCACCTTTAAACTCCCCGATATTAATTGGAAACAATATCAGAGGTAGGTGTCCACCAAACATAACGGTATAGGACAAGAAGAACCAAAAAGAGAAAGTAAGCCCCCTCCTCCCAAAAAAAAAATAGTAGCTTAATCCCAAAAAGAGGCATGACGCTCCCCAATAAAGGCCTCATCCCAGAAAAAGGGACAGAAGCCAAAAAAAATATGATAAGAATTTTGTTTAAGTCCTGAATAAATAAATAGTTCTTATAACGCCTGGCATTAGTATGTGTTATAGCAGTGGCGTCGCTAGAGTATATGATGTCCTCGGTGCGACAGGATGGCTCACTAGCAAAAGAAAAACAAGGTTACAAAGACAGTTTGTGTGGAAACACAAATTCAAAATCTGCCCCCGAAGTGGTCCACCCAGGCAGGTAAACAAGGCAGGTTTCAATATTTTCAGAAAGAATATCAGAATGAAATTCTATCAAAGGCAAATAACAGAGAAGAATGGAGAAAGAAGTTTGACAGATCTTATATGCTACCCCAAAGATCCAGCAGAACAAGGGATAGGTGAAAGTGAATGTAAAGTTAGATGTAAACCTGGCCTAACTGATTTTCTATAATGATTATCTTATTGATCTAATTGTTTTGTATAGTGTCAATCTCTTATTCAAAGCCTTTTAAAAAAAAAATTCCTAAAAAGAAATAATCCTAAGTTAGGTGTCTTATATATGCAATATTGCCCTGCAGTTCACACGATAATATGAAAAACTACTTCTTATTTGTTTTTTAAAATTATGTTCCATTTATATGCATATTAAATAGATTTTTTTCTCTTTAAAAAAAATAGTAACCATTTTTTGTAACTTAGCAATACATTTGTAAAAAAAAATATTGTAAAAATGTGTATTTTTATGAAAAAAAAACGGCTTGCATAGTTCATTTAAAAATTAAATTTTTCACTTTCAGAACACAAAAAAGTTGCCGTTCATCAGAACTTTAAAAGGTCTAAAACATCAAGATGTCGGATTTTCCATATCTTTTCTAGTTTACGAGATCCAAACGGGACGGACGGACGGACAGACATACCACACACAATACCCTTTCGGAGGCCGCTAAAAAAACGAAATGCATCACCAAAAGGACGTTGTTTTTAAGAACTAATATTTATTTATTGTTAAAGCATTGCTATTTTTCCATTATTTACCAAATTAGTGAGTCGCAATCTTTTCATCATTGATCTCAATTAATTCTTCATCAACCTAAGTCAGAATAAAACAAACTTCGCTCGCATATATGCAGCACTTACCGCCAGGTTCAGAACTATTCCTATAAAGACAATATTCAGAACTGAATCATTTAACCCAGCAGTTCTCAACCTGTGGGTCGCAACCACTTTGGGTGTCGATTGACCATTTGATAGGGGTCGCCTAAGACCATCGAAAATATGGATTGGTATTGTCTACTCTTCTATTGCTGTATGTGGGGGGGGGGGGTCGCGGCAGAGTGGGGGATTGTAAAAAGGGGTCGCCGAGCTTAAAAGGTTGAGAACCGCTGATCTAACCGATATCTGAGATGATGCCAGTGAAAGACTAAAAAATCTGTACCCCCGTATTTGCCCATGACAACGTAACCTTAACATTTGGGAAAAATGATCCAGTTTTGTGGTGTCAGATGTACTGTCCAAATTGTCGAGAAATAAATAAATATAGTACATTTGATTCTACCTGGTTATCAGCTTGCATTTAAGAAAGAACATAAGAGATTAGCATAGTAGCTAATAATTAGATTTGTAGTTAACGTTTCAAATGAATTTGTTTGTCTTTGTTCATGTATGTGCAATACATTGTTTTTACTGAGAAGGTTTATTCTTAGTATGATGCCCCTCACCACTTGATGCCACTAGAACTTGATGTCCCGACAACTTAATGCCTCTACCATTTCATGCCCCTACCACTTGATGCCCCTCACCACTTGATGCCCTCACCACTTGATGCCCCTACCACTTCATGCCCTTTCACCACATGATGCCCCTAACCACTTAATGTTCCTAACCACTTGATGCCCCTCACCACTTGATGCCCTTACTACTTGATGCCCCTGCCACATCATGCCCCTAGTCACTTGATGCATCTACCACTAGATGCCCCTCACCACTTGATGCCCCTTTCACTTCATGCCCCTACTACTTGATGACCCTGCCACTAGATGCCCCTCACCACTTGATGCCCCTCACCACTTGATGCCCCTCATCACTTGATGCCCCTCACCGCTTGATGCCCCTCATCACTTGATGCCCCTAACCACTTGATGTCCCTACCTGTTGATGCCCCTTATAACTTCATGCCCCTACCACTTCATGCCTTTTACCACTTGATGCATCTACAACTTGATGCATCTACAGCTTGATGCATCTACAGCTTCAAGCCCCTACCACTTTAAGCCCCTACCACTTGATGCCCCTAATGACTTGATGCCCCTACCACGTCATGCTCCTGCCAAGTCATGCCCCTAGTCACTTGATGCATCTACCACTTGATGCCCATACCACTTGATGCCCATATCACATGATGCCCCATGCGGTCCGCACTACCCACTTGGTAAGCTGTGTTATACCCTACTTAATCAGTGTGTTGTTTGAGTATTTGTGTACAGTATGTATTTGTCTGTACTACATAACGCTTAATATTTCAAAGATACTCACTTATTATCCTGTCACCGGTCCTATGGGATTCTACCGCCTTCACAGGAAGCATTATCCACTATTTGAGTCGAATATCCATGAAATAATAATCCAATGAATGAATGAACTGAAAACAATAATCCACCGAATTCCCACAAAGACGTCCAAGAATCACTACACAGGACAGAACGTCTTTTGTTCT